CAAACGTCTACTTCCGGTTGACATGCGCCGCTCAAAACGCGCGAGCACTACTGAAACTACTGAAGCGATCTCAGTATGAACGGGGCCTAATAAGAGCCCTAGAGATTTTGCTCGCAAGATGTCGATGGCAGGCTCTTTTCTGTAAAGAAAATAAAAGTAAATGAAGTAAATAAACAAACACAACGCCTGATCGCTGGTTTTAAAACAAGCTCCGCGCGAAGCTACACTAATGTTCATTCTGTCCTTTACTAGACATTTTTTTAAAGGAATAATGATAGAGGAATGATTAGGAGACAAAGATACAAAAAAGCAAAACAAACCAAATATAGACGAAATAAATAAGTAATAAATAAATAAATGTAGCCTGCGTAGCAAGCGTTAGAAAGGGAAAGGAAATTAGATCCAGGCGCGCGTGCCCTAGTTTCCCCTCGGCTTTTCTTTAGAACACCTGCCAAGCAGATTGATATACCGTACCGTAACATTCCGAAAATAAGCCCCTCCATGTATAAGCCCCCCGAACTCATAACACAAAAAACCCTCCGTTAAATCGCCCCTCCAAATATAAGCCCCTCGGAGGCTTGTACTTGGAAACAAAGTAAGACAAAGCAAAAACGGTAAATTACCTTCCAACTATAAGGCTACCCTAATCGATTTTGAAACGCAATTAATTTCCCTCCGTAGATAAGCCCCTCCGAATATAAAGCCCGTTTCAAACGTCGTGCTACTGCCGTGCCGAACTCAATTGATCGAATTAAATTCGACTTTAGCACGGCAGTAGCGCGACGTTTGAAACTAAGTCGTGCTACTGCCGTGTAGCACGGCAAGCCTTGCCGTGCTACACGGCAGTAGCTCGACTTGGTTTTAAACGTCGTGCTAACGCCTTGCCGAACTCAATTCATAAATTATAAATACATTAGAATACATTTCAAAGTTTGCTAAACCGTTTCTTTATTTTTGTGTTGTGTTTTTGGCAACAGCCGGTCTATTCGATTAAATTAAATTCGACGTCTGAAACCAAGTCGTGCTGCAGTCGAACCATCTTAGCACGGCAGTAGCACGACGTTTGAAACAGGCCTAAGCCCCTCAAAAACGGCCTTTCAAAAACAGAAGCCCCGGGGCTTACTTTCGGAATTTTAAGGGTATATACATTTTTTTCAGCAGCTTCCCGCATCTAATATTTTGTTCTCTAACTAATTGCAAAGAAAACTACTGGTCCCAATTTTCTAACTGGAAATAGAGTCTAGCTAATTTGTTTATATTAACAAATGTTGCCGTATCATCCTGAAATTCCGGTTGGAAAGTTATATTTATCATAGGAACACGACTCTTCCTAGCCTGCTAGAGCAGACGCCTATGGTCAGCTTTTGTTTTTACCAGGCGGACAAAAAAAAAAGCTCTCTTCCCTGTGGGTGAAGAAGGCATCGATCTGCTCTCGCATTCTACACTTTTCGGGTCGCTCCAGTGGAAAATTTCCAGCACTAAGAAAAGTCTGAAAAGGAAGCCCTGTTTTCCCTCGATTTACCGGTCAAAATGTCCAAAGACTTCTCTCTTGCTTCACGCCCACGTTTCATTTTCGCGGCTTTTTTGTTGTACAAGAGATTGATTTGTGCAAATAGTAAAACGCGATTTCCGAGCAAAATTTTTGTTTACCACTTACCCATACGTATTCTGAACCGACCGGTTTGCTTTTAAATGAAACCGATACACAACACTGGCCAATGGAAATTTCTATAATTCAGTACAAAAAAAAAAAAAAAAAAAACAAAAAGAAAAAAAAAAAAAAAAAAAAAAAAAAAAAACAAAAAAAAAAAAAAAAAAAAAAAAAAAAAAAAAAAAAAAAAAAAATTAATTTTACAAATAATCTAAAATAAAAAAAAAAAAAAAAAAAAAAAAAAAATCACTGGCCAATGGAAATTTCTATAATTCAGTACAAAAAAAAAAAAAAGAACCAAATCGAGGCTACATTTATTTGTATGAAACTATCCACCCAGTATAATGTGTGCGTTCACCGGAGTGCAATATGGCAAACGTCTATTTGTTGCAGAGATGCTACAAGAAAACAAACAAACAAAAAAGACAACAACAATAACAAAAACAACAACTCGTGAATGAAATTAAGTGAAAATTCGTATCATCACTTTCGATTATGCTGAATTTAAAACGAAGAAAACCAAGTTTCAAAACAGTTACTTTATTGCCACTGCAGCATAAATTAAATACTCCTAATTTATATAATTTGTTTTCACTAATCGAAGGTGTAAAAAACGAATAGTTACAAGCGAGTAAGTCAAGAGAAAGTTTAGGAACAGACGTGAGCTTGGGTTAAAAAGCGAAAAAAGTCCTCTGACTCACAGACAATTGGATTTGGCCTTCCAAGAAACACATGAAACGCAACGGCGAGGTAAAAAAGATGAAGTATTAAATAGCAAAGTTGTTACCTATTATGGATCGTTCTTTTAGTTAATATTCATCACACGACAGGTCTGAACTGAAACAAAACTGGGACTTCTGTTGGACTGTACCAAAGACGGTGAAGTGAAAGGTGACGAAAATAACGATCGCCTACTTACACTCATACTTGTTCTGAGTTGATCTTACGATACATAAGCGTTTACAGGGTAACAATAAAGAAGCGTACTGTAGGCTGTTTTAGTTGTCGAATGTCACAGCACATGGTCAGTGTCAATGATGCTCATATTTTAAAAACCCTCAAAATTTCTCTCGCGCGACTTCGTCCCATCCCTTCCCGAACCCGTTTCCCTTTCGAAGGTCTACCGCGCAATTTAATACGGGTACAGCCAAATGAGCTCTTAACTACTTACGAGCTCTTTCATCTGAAGAGTTATAATGCGTTTTGTCAATACCATCATCTAAAATACTTTCCCGTCACACGGATATTGGCCTTCTGCCTGTAGGTTGAGTCCTAAAGGGTGACGGCTTTTCAGTTTAGTGGTTGTTTTGTGGTCCTACTCTTTCCGTCTATGGATTACGTTTGCCAAGAGGGCGGAGCAGACATTCAAATTTAAGCTACCCAGCAGCACTTCTCCTATTATCTTTCTCTACGCTGCAAAAATATGGTTCGAATTCTTGACCTTTAGAGCAAACGATAAGTAACCAGTGAGGAGTACAACTTGAGACCTTTAGATTTTAGTACTGCGCGTTAAGTGAAATCTCGCCGCAATAGTCGTCCTCGTCATCAAATCTAAAGATCTCTCATAAACTTCACTGCGGCCAAATTCTTCTAGCGCTTTCTTTGGCCAAAGTGGAAACCAGTGGCGACCCTAACGATATATTTCGCTTACAGTTGCCTGCGAACGAAAACCATCAGAGTGGCCGCTTTAATATACGCAGTCAAGAAGTACGGCCTGTTTCCAGTCACTGTCATCAGAGCCCTGGTTTTTTTTTAAGTAAATGCGTGGTAAGTTCTGTCAAGGGAGTAAGCATAAGGGCTTGACGTCTAGATAAGAGAGAAAGTTTTAAGGAAAGGCAAGTGGAGATGTTGATGAGTCAGAATTTAGCGAGAATAATAAAGAGAGAAACGAGAATATATATTACAAATTCAACGCCACAGCAAGAATCCCACAACAAATGTACAAAATGTTCCCCAATGTCTTACACAGCGGTACTTCCACAATCTGCAAATAGAAAAAAATACCAGCAGTTACAAGAAAGACGTAAAAAGAGGTTGACAGAGTAGAGAGGAGAGGTGTGACGTCACGTTACCATGGTAGCACTATTTCTGGATGACAACGAAACCAACGACGACAGCGACGGCAAGGAGAACGGCAAAAAATATACGTTTATATTAAGAAAAAACAACGTTGCACGTGTATCACGCTATTTTGTACATTTCTTTGCCGTCGTTGCATCACTACGACATAAAACTTTCTAATTTCATGAGCCCAGAGTAGGTAAACAAAACACAAAAATTGTCGCTTTCGTTTTTTCAACTTAGATAACGATAAATACTGTCCCGAAGAAAATTTCGCCAAGATTTGCCAAATTAGGTTGTCATTCAAAAAAATTGTTACCATGGCAACATGACGTAACGGCTTCTTATCTCTATTGTATTCAGTTATAATCCAACATTACGTTGTCAATGGATCTCACACAAGGCCACACGAAACCGTATTCCTGTATCGCTTTTGTCAGCAAATCATAATTTAACAATAGAGCGATTTTCGTATGACCTTGAAATGAAAACGCGCGAACAAAACACAAGCAACAAACAAACGGAAATTGAGCGATTTGATTGGTTTATCGAACGGATACAAACACGCGTGGCTTTTGGTTGGTTAAGCGAACGCTCGGGTGAAAAAACTTCATGCCTGAGAACTTTCTACAAATCAACCGATACTTCGCTTTGATGTCATACTACAACACGATTGGCTAATCGAACGATGCCTTCTTTACATTAGGTTTTTCTTTGGCGGGAAAACGAAGTGGTCATGTTTTGATCTTTTCATCCATTGGCTGATAAAACAAATAACGAACACTCAGCGAAACCATTTTTCAAGGTCATACGAAAATCGCTCTAACTGAGCGATTTCCGATTGCGCTAATTGCTGGTCGAGAGCTATGGTCGATGACCATGGAAATGGAGAGGTGGTGGCACAATTTGCTTCTCTCTTTCTCTCGGGCGCGATTTTGCCGAGAAACTTGAGTTTAATTTGAACATTTTTACGTCGCGCACGCAAATTCTCGACTCTGACCCGATAACTGTGCGCTTAATACAGCGGGCTCAGTTATGACCATCAGTTCACCAATAAGCAGATGCTCGCACTCAAAAAACCAAGATAAACTTGTTGGGAAGTTTAGGCTTTTGCGACTTCAAAGGCTTGACGCGATTCCGATAGCCTACGAAAAGTCCTTAGCAGCGAGGAGCAAGGAGAAACGGCTTTATTCGCAGGATGCGATTCAGACAGAACCTTCTTTTCTCCTCTTCACTCAAGAGAGCGAAAATGAGGCTCCGCTCGCAGGGCACGCAGACACTCTAGTGATTAAATTTTCCAAATACCTGATTTAGAAAATCTACCAACAGGACCCCATATTCTTACAGTTCCGTCGTCACTGGCCGACGCTAACATAGTGGGATCCTTTGAATTCCAACTGACACAGTTTACAGTTCTCGTGTGTCCACTGAGCACCGCAATTGGTTTTTCACGTTTTGAATGCCAGATGTACACCTTGTGATCTGTGAAAAGGAAAACACATCTGGTCCAATTGTCTGGCTTGGCAAATGACCCTTAAATTACGGAAATGAATTTTTCAACAGCATTAGTCATTACGATCGCTTGATTTATCTTTTTTTTACTCGGGCGTCCTGTGGTACGCGCAAGTCACACCGGGGCGCAATTCTCCGGGAAAATCCAAATCCGGAATCTTGAAACTTAAAACGGACTTGGGATTCTAGTTAACGGACTTTACTTAGCAGTAAATCTAAAGAATCCACGCTCTCGAGGGATTAATCAGACCAAATCAAAATATGGGGTTTTTGGATTCATGACACCTGCGTTTCTTTGGGAGGGTTCCAAAAAAAAAAAAAAACAGCTGGCAAATTTTCCTCTGTGGCCCAGGCGCAAAGCCCTTACTGGTTCGCCCCATTCGAGGATGTCACGCTGAAGAATCCATTTTCGGTTTATTCGCTTCTTTTGTCATGGCATAGGCTCGATTACCAGCCGCTGTTCGGGAAATGAGCCCACGCTCCTCCCCCGAACAGTCTCTTCTCGGGAAGGACCGAGAGAGCGGCGGAAATCGAGCCTTGTCATGGTAACGAATTCAAGATATCTGAGATCAAGAGATTCTTCCACAGAAGCGTAGCACTCATTAGAAGAGAACTCTGATATGAATGGAGACGTCTCCTATTTCCTGGAGACTTTAGGGTCCTTGAGCAAAGGCGTTTTGAAGCGACGCACTTCAACCTTTCCGTTCTTGGGTAATGGTTCTGCCGACATTTTCGGGCGACTCATTTTTTGTAAGAGTTAAGACACTTAGCAGTACGAGTTTGGTAGCGTTAAGGCATACTCTCTCTTAACGGACGCCTCTATAAGACAGACACCTCTATAAAACGGACACTTAGAGTTGGTCTCTGCCCTTCTTTACTCCCTTTATTTGACTCTCTATAAGACGGACACCTCTTTAAGACGGACACTTAGTGCCGGTCCCAAAGGTATCCGTCTTAAAGAGAGTTGACGGTATTAAAAGGAAAAAGGTCTCACTTCCGGTTGACATGCGTCGCTCAAGAACACCTGTACTTAAGCTCCCTATTATTTCACATGTATCTGTGCACTGACCTTCACTACCGCTAGCAAGGAAGTTTTGATTAGCACCACCGAAACATGAGTATATTGTATACTTTTCCTGTCTTGGACCCTGATATTTCCTGATTAATATTCGATCTCTAATGTCCCATAAATGAACTCCCTAACGACAAAAAAAGAAAGAGAAAGTTGATCAACAAATAGCTAAGATAATTTAGAAACAACGACGGTAAAATCTACTTTGTAAGATACCGTATTTCTTCGAAGAAGTGCCCGCGCTCTAATAAACGCCCTTCCTCGAATAAGCATCCATCTCCTGGGCTATTTAAGCAATAGAAAACTTTTTCCGTGTTTGCATAGCCTGATATAAACACGAGAGGGGTTGGGAGAATTCGAGGCAGTTATGCAAACCCGAGACGAAGTCGAGGGTTTGCATAACTGTCGAGAATTCTCCCAACGCCTCGAGTGTTTATATCAGGCTATGCAAACACAGCAAAAAGTTTTCTATTGCTTTTATAAAATAAATTTCCCACGAAAAAACGCAAAACTCTTTATATGGCACTGATTAAAATAGAACTTCTTACCACTCGCAAAGTCTCGCCACGGAGTCTTGCGCGCGTGATCAGTTCTTCTTTTGCAAAAAGATGCTTTCCAAAATACGGACTTTTCTCGCTTACAATGTCAGCTTAAGCGAAAAAAGATTGACACACTTTCTTCGCAATGGTTTTCCAAGTTTCAGCCGACGAAGGAATGGGTAAATAAAGTAAGCTTGTCGAGTTCTGAACCTGAAAACTTTTTCAAATTCGTGCTTGCGTGATTAGCGCGCGAAAAGCAAAACATCTTGACGCCACAACCATGTTTACATACTCTCATGCAAACACTCCTCTCAGCCAATCACAGCGCGCGTACTATCTTAGTTATTTTATAAAATATCAGACAAGCGTCCCCGTCCAATAAGCGCTCCCCTCCCCTCCCCTCCCCAAACACTCTCTCAAATAGTAGGGATACAAAGAAAACCTGCTTCTATTGCCACTTTATTTATAACTTCTTTAGCTTAAAGTTCAACATCTATACCGATACAAATGTGTATAAATTCAGTATGTAATGGGACCTAGGTACCCTTGATTACCAACAGGAGGAAAGCTTTATAAGCGCTCCTCAATTAAAGCGCCCTCGTTCCAACAAAAGACCTTCCTTTTGGCCCAACTTTTAAATAAGCGCTCGGGCGCTTATTCAAGAAATTACGGTACAAATTTATCTATAATGCAATGTAGTAGAGGTTCAAGTTTGTCGCAGGCAAAGTTAATAGGGTGACTTCGAAGTACAGCTGTTCGGTAATCTAGGATCACGCTCAGACCTTTGATAACTTTCGGACTATGTACAAACGATGAGATTCCTCACCTGTGAAGCTATGTTTAAAAGTGCGTGCCGACCATCGTCTGATACAGAAAATGACATGATCGAATGGTCCTCTTGTATTCTGTAAGAAGAAAGAATGTGAGACAGAAAATTCGTCTATAAATTATCAGGAGCCGAAATTATAGATTTCATATTTCACTATTACTAAACAATTCAATAACCCTTCTTCTATAATCAGTTACCTTAAATTTAGACTGTTCACAGCCCCCTATTTTTAGGTATGATCGTCGGGATCGGGCAGATTTAAGCAGGGGCGGCCACCTTGGTTTTTAATTGTATCGAATCTAGCTTGAGTGTGGGTTTGCCTAGTCCCTAGGCCTCTTTTTCCGCCCGGACAATACGTTTAGGATCACATGGTCCAAGCGAAACGTCTCGGATATACGTCACTGAAGTGAATTGACCGAGAGAAACTGGGAAAACGCCGTACAAGGACTAAGCAAGGCATGAGTATCCAATTTACTTAAGGAGCGGGGAATGGTTTGGCTTTGAATTGATTTGATTCGGCCTTCCTGCACTCAATACTAGTGAGTTTACGCAACAGGACGGCAGGAAGAAGAGGACGGCAAAACAGCTGTGTGTGACAAACGTGACAGGGCTATCACTTGTGGGTTTTGTCGTGATCTTCACTTAACACCAAGGTTTTCTGCTCCTTTACAAAAAGATCTGTTTAAAGGAAAGTGAAGTTTGGCGAAAAGTTGTTTCAAATAAAATTATTGTCACGCTTGTCACACAAGGTTTGCCGTCTTCTTTCCTCTCCCGTCCTGTTGCGTAAGTTCACTACTAGCAAGCTTAAGCAACGAGAACGCTGACGTCCTGGACGTCATGATTAGCAACCGGAAGTTCGATAAATCGCTTGATGGAAGGCTTCTGTCTCACACAACGAATCTGAAAGCCATTGTTTTAAGTCCCACTGCGCGAATTTGTCGAGTTAGAGCACTGAAAGAGTGAAAAATGAACTTCCGGTTGCCATTTTTGACGTCCGAGACGTCAACGTTCCTTAAGTCCCTACTATAAACCCAGGGGCCTGCCCCTCCCGTAACGATATGTCTCGACGATTTCATGGGAAAATGAGGGAATGTGGACAGTCTATCTTTCATTTCGTGCAGACTTACAAGTTACTATCATTTAATTCGTCAAAATTGTAAGCTCTAATTCTGTTGTGTGTGTCCGCAGCCAGAACAGTACTGCCTCCACCACCTAAACAATGAAGCCCTGTAACTCTGACACCTTCCCACGTATCCATCACACTCCCATCGAGAGCCTAAAAGAATCAAAATAATATCTGCATGTATCAAATGGTAACGAAAGTAGAAAAACTGTAGCGCCGGTCTGCCGCGATGTTTAACTGAGGCCGCGGTTTAGAGACAACTGCAAAGTGAAACGGTTAGACTTTCTAGTCTTCTCGGATAAGGACGATAAGCCGTAGGCCCCGTCTCAAAAGTCAGTTGGACATTAAAGAACCCACACACTGTTCATAAGTTAAAAGTAGGGGACATAGTGAGGTGGTTTATCTCGTGGGAGGAGGGACTGTTACGGGCCTTTTGTTGCGGTGACCCTGCCAAAATTGGCGAACCTACGCGAATAGAAACCCTTTCAATCAAAGAGTATATGATAGAGTCTTGTAAATTATGAAATGATCAAGATCTAACTTTTGGCTATGTGGATGAAATCTTATGGTGTGAGAATTAAACCTCTTTGGCAGAAATTGAATCACATACAGTTGAACCTCAACTCTCTCTAAATGGACCCCTTTACAAGATGGACACCTCCCTAAAATGGACACTGTAGAGTTGGTCCGCGCTTTTTTGTTCTTTTCTTAGTTGACTGTCTTCAAGATAGACACCTTGCTAAAAATGGACATCTACATGTAGAATTGGTCCCTGCCTTTCCTTACTTTTGTAGTTAACTCTCTATACTGAGATTGTCATCTCACTAAAAGGGGACCCATAGCGCCAGCCCCAATGGTGCCTGTCTTACTGAATGTTGACTGTATACCTATATTAACCCTTTAAGTCCCAAAAGTGACCAACTTCGATATTCTCCTAACGATATCCATACATTGCCACAAGATTAGGTTATAAGAATTAATAAAATGATCACCCAAGAGAAAATGCTTAGATCTTTCATCAAATTTTCTAACTCATTCTTTAAGGAAATATATAGAGGTCAGTTTGGAGAATTTGTATGTGGATATTGGGACTTAAAGGGTTAAGCAGGCAGGAGGAGTTTAGTTTGACTTTTTTGGGACGTTGAAGAAAGCACTTGACACGTAAAAATTAGATGAAAACGCCACGTGTTCACTATTATTTTAAACCATTACTGCTTGGGACTATGCAGCAATTATACCACTGTTGCATTAGTAGTTTATGCTAAATAAAATTCCAGATATTAAAAAAAAANGGAGGGACTGTTACGGGCCTTTTGTTGCGGTGACCCTGCCAAAATTGGCGAACCTACGCGAATAGAAACCCTTTCAATCAAAGAGTATATGATAGAGTCTTGTAAATTATGAAATGATCAAGATCTAACTTTTGGCTATGTGGATGAAATCTTATGGTGTGAGAATTAAACCTCTTTGGCAGAAATTGAATCACATACAGTTGAACCTCAACTCTCTCTAAATGGACCCCTTTACAAGATGGACACCTCCCTAAAATGGACACTGTAGAGTTGGTCCGCGCTTTTTTGTTCTTTTCTTAGTTGACTGTCTTCAAGATAGACACCTTGCTAAAAATGGACATCTATGTTGTAGTTAATTTTTTATGTCAGGTAATTTTTGTTTTTCTTTTGTTTTTGGGTATGATAATGTATGCTAACGAAGTTGAAACAAAGGAAAAATAAAAATTACCTGAGATAAAAAATTAACTACAACATCTACATGTAGAATTGGTCCCTGCCTTTCCTTACTTTTGTAGTTAACTCTCTATACTGAGATTGTCATCTCACTAAAAGGGGACCCATAGCGCCAGCCCCAATGGTGCCTGTCTTACTGAATGTTGACTGTATACCTATATTAACCCTTTAAGTCCCAAAAGTGACCAACTTCGATATTCTCCTAACGATATCCATACATTGCCACAAGATTAGGTTATAAGAATTAATAAAATGATCACCCAAGAGAAAATGCTTAGATCTTTCATCAAATTTTCTAACTCATTCTTTAAAAATAGGAAATATATAGAGGTCAGTTTGGAGAATTTGTATGTGGATATTGGGACTTAAAGGGTTAAGCAGGCAGGAGGAGTTTAGTTTGACTTTTTTGGGACGTTGAAGAAAGCACTTGACACGTAAAAATTAGATGAAAACGCCACGTGTTCACTATTATTTTAAACCATTACTGCTTGGGACTATGCAGCAATTATACCACTGTTGCATTAGTAGTTTATGCTAAATAAAATTCCAGATATTAAAAAAAAATGAAATTAAGGAAAGAACTACCACTTACACATTGGTAAAACTGCCCCCTTTTCCCACCAGTGTAAAACCTTTTGCTATCAGGATTCCAGGCGCAACATGTGAGACTATCATCTGTCGACTGACTCATTCTACATTTCAGCTCTCCTGTCTTTAAACATAAGCAGACAAATCCACTTTAACCACAATTTGTCCAGAAACAGGTAAATGCAATGTATTAAACAAGGCATGATGATTGACACTAACAGTTCAATGGCCTGAGAAAATGGCCGACATTTTGTGACGCCACCACTGGTGAGGTCTGAGAAACAAGTGCAGAAATTCCATACTGATGAAACATCACTACCCAGGTCTGGGTAGTGATTCTGATTGGTTGAAGCAAATTTCCCATACTGCAGGACCAGTGAGAAGCACTAGCCAGATCAGGTAGTGACACATCATCAGTATGGAATTTCTGTGCTTGTTTCCCAGATGTAAGCTTGTACTTGTACTTTCTATTGGAGCTCAACTTAAGCTATATGCTTCTGTTTAGATTCAAACCAGTCATTTTACTCAAAATCGTTCATTTTTATTTGTACATTCAGAAAAAAAGTTAATAATTATTACTCGTAATTCGTTGATTATCACCCTCACTATAATTTTTACCATGTGTTTTTTAATACAGATATACTTCGTTTTCTTTGTGATTTCATGGTGTGTAGCGGCATATTTTGGCATTTTAAGATTTTGGAAAGATTTGAAATAAAAGGCTGGCAAAATATGAATGTTTCAACATGTAAGTAATAAACAAATAACACATGGAAAGTGCTTTGTAGGGTATTAATTTTATGCACTCATTCGCGGTGCTCACTCATTTGATTTCTGATTTGTCATGTGTAAATAAGGTACACATACACTTTCCATGAAGTATTCTATATTTGAAGGTCTTTTGAAATCTAAAGATGCAATAAAGGCAAAGATAACAGAAAGGAAATATAACATGTTCCACCATTTTGGAAAGAGGTATATAACTATGTTGTGAGCAAAATCTCTTCCCAGGTTAAACCAGAATTTCCTTTGTCTCCTGTGAATAATTAGGGCTGAGAAACAAAGGAAATTCTGAGCCAAACTACAGTGTAGGTTGAATACTGATTTGACTTAAAATTGATTTTAGCTACAACATTATAATGCTACCATTCTCATGATAACAGACATGACTACATGTGCATTTGACTTACTTCCGTATTCCAAATCCATAATTCAGAACAGTCTTCAGGACCACAGGCAATAAGGTATGTGTCATCTGGACTCCAGGCTAAATGACCAACCCCAAATGAATGTCCTTCCATTGTTCTAAGATGTGTGGGTTCACCATTCTGTACAAGATACAATGAACATTGTATACAGTGATTTCACTGAACTGGGATACAGGTAACGACATGTGAGCAAATTTCACAAAAATTAATAGAAAAAAGTCCTTTCCCATGTACATGACTTTTTTTGTGCGTGTGTATGGCAGTGTAGCAGACTAATGTATATTTACAAGTATATTAATTAACAAACAGAAAAATAATAATATTCCACTGTCTATTTAACAAAGATTCCATGTTGTTGTGCTTCTGTTCAGTTACAGAACACAAATAATGTAATAACTG